CACACACACACGCACTTGACAACCACGTTAGGAGGCATGAGGCTGATTTGGGGCAGGTAGGACAACGTCTCCACTGAGTGCCCCTGGCAACGGAGGCCAGGGTCCTCTCCTGCAGGACAGGCCTTCCCATGCTAGCCTCTTGAAGGTGGTACAGCTGGCACTGGTGGCACAGGTGTCAACCCCACCTACCTGTTCTGGAAGGCGGAGCTCCAGCAGCTTTGAAAATCTCTTTTCAAAGAAAAGATGCAGGAAGTAGGCATCACTGTAGATCTGGACTTTGATTATTTCCTCTTTGTTTCCAAGCACCCATTTTTGAAGACGTCAATGTGTTTGAAATGCATAGAAACCCGCTTTAGCAAAAATATCAAGTTGCCAAGAGGCAGAATGAATAGTAAACATGAAGAACGCCTTCGTTGTGGCTTTGGAACTCAATGTTCAGTCGTGCACACAGAGTGTGCACCTGGAGGGCGGGGGTCTGGGAAGTTTTCTTTAGAAGGAAATGTGAAGCAGTGTGAGGGTTTCCAGCCAGAGGGGCCGTGGGCCCAGAGCAGGTGCAGGGGGCAGCCCCTGGGAGGTGATTATCAGGAGCCCTGCTTGGAAAGGCTCGGTGCTTAGGTATCTCCCTGCAGGGGAGGACACCAGGTTGTTCTCCATGGACACCAGCGCCCATCACCTCGTGCCGCCACTAAAACCGCTGAAATCTGGTCAGAGGCATTTTGGGGGAGTGAGGAAACAACTGGACTTATCAAATCAAGGACAGTCCCCGTCTGGGACAGTGGAGGTTTTGCTTCTCTCTGTTGCCTCTTCCTGCCTCTGGTGGGAGTGAAACTGCCCTGAATTCCAAAGGAAAAACCCCTGATAGGACCAGAAGCTTCAAAGTAACCTGTGCAGTATTTCTCATCAACTGACACCTTTTCCACAGAGGAAACTGAGGCCCGAGAGCAGAAGAGCACAGGGCAGGAGACTCGAACTTGGTGGGCCTTCAGGATAACCACTGTCCTCTGCAGCTGGAGCACTGAAAGGCAAGGATTATGACCTGAGCTTACGTGGGACGGGTCGGTTCCTCTGGTGGCATTTCCTCTTTCTCTTCTTTAGCCATTCTGTAGTGTCACGGCTGTGTTTCTAAGGTGAGGAAACAGAGCTCAGAGGAAACGAGCCGCTGCCCAAGGCCATGCGGCAGCTCGGTGGTGGGAGATGAACTAAGCCAGGTGTCTTTCATCCCATGTCAGGAAGACTGCTAAATGCAGGGGACTGTGGAGACCGCTGACACATCAGACGATGCAGGCCTGTCAGCAGACCCCGGGGAATGTCCACAGCAACCAGGGCCCATGGTGGCTAATGTCCTCTAGGCAGGTTCAGAGCGTCTGAGAGGTGGAGTGGACTTCCAACGGAAGCTGGGATGAGTGCTTGATGGGCAATGTGGCCCTTCCTGGCCACGGTGGATGCGGAGCAGTTATTGAAAGCAGGAAGGGGCCGTCCCTATGGGCAGAGCCACCCCAGGTCCCTTTCAGATTTTATCTGCAGTCTCCTCCCTCCCCTAGTGCACAGCGTGTGCCTGGTGACAGCCTGGGCTGGCCCAAGCACAGCAATCTGAGACCCAGGCAGGCAGGCAGGGCTGTCCAGACGGCTGCTCTCATCACGTGCTGGGCACATGGCATCCTGTCCCTGGAATTCTTGCTTTTCCTCCTGGGCTTTGGATTCTTAAATGTTACTTCACTTGTCTCCTTCTGCATCCAGGACACACAGAAATGACATGGCTGCTCCTAAGGAAAACACCAGGTCTCCTGGAAGCAAAGGACACCAAGTGGAAGCCGGGTGCTCAGTGGAGCGGTGGCAGCATTGGGACCAGTTCTTTCCTTGTTGTGCATGCAGTCTCCAACTTCAAAGGAGGTGGGCCTCCCTCGCCCTGCTGGTGTGGCTTCAGAGAGAGGCGAGAGGAGGGGTGGGGGGTACCTAAATAGTTGCCATTGTTGTATATGAGAGAGGGAGAGAGAGACAAGACAGAGAGAGAGACACAGAGAGAGAGAGAGAAGCAAGCTGGGGCAGACCGGAGCAGGTCCATCTGCTTGGCTGGGCTCTCCAGTGTTGTCTGAATTTGTGACCTGCCCATTGGGCATTTTCACTCCTAGTACTGTAGGTCACTGTCCTGCACGTGACTTCTACTCAGGAGTGTTATCTCCTCCACAGGACTTTTTCAAGTGTTCTTTGTCACAGAGCCCAGGACCACAAGCATATTCTGAGGCCTTTAGTATCACTACCCCTGGTGACTGTTTGCTTGGGGCAGATGCTTCTGGGTCCACAAGATCACAAGTCAATGACCACCACTCTCTTGAAGTAATGAAATCTCCCACACTGAGGAGGAAGACGCTGAAGAAGATGGGGTGCTCCCCCTCAGGGGGAAGATCGGGCTTGATTTCCACTCAACACTAAGAAGCATGAGATGAGGAGTGTGCTTGGAACAGCCACCTGCATCTCGGTTCACCTGCTTGCTGGTCGGCCCCATCAGGCATGGTTGTGTCTTCCTCAGTGGACCAGAGAGGCCCAATGCCTTCTGCATCGGGGCTGGAAGGAGCTCTCTGCGGCCAGGAGCAATCCCAGGATTGGGTGCGGGGTCTCTCGTGCAGAGCTTTTGCCTTTGGGGCTAGCTTAGTCCTTGCTTCCTTCCTTGGCAAATGTAATGCCTTACACAGCACCTAGTTCTTTTTCTGCTTTAATGCGGTTCTGACGTGTGTTCAGGCAAGCCAATGCAAACCCCATTCGGACTGGAAGTGGACAGCCACACATGAACAGATATTAAATGCCAAGAGCCTGGTGCTGGAAACCCTATGGTATTTTAACCAGCTGACCATGTGTCTCCTAGAGGCCAGACTATGCAGCCAGGTGGGGGTGCTGTGGAGAGCAGGATGGGGTTTCAGCTATTTTTAAATGGATGTGCAAAAACTCCAGACGATGTGCAGGACAGGAGGGCTGGCTTCCTCTGCTAGATAATTTTAAAAATACTTCAGTGGGTTTCTTTATGACATTTTCGTATGTGCATATGGTACACTTTGTAGGAAATTTTTTAAAGGAGAAAGATCAAGCATTCTTTTGAAAGTTTCTTACTCTGGCCTACCACCGCATCTCAGGATTCCTGGCAGAGCTTCTGCTCACTGTGCCAGGTCCTGCTTGGCTTTCCGAGGCAGTAAAGAGACGAGGGCAGGACAGGTCAGGAAGCATCAGCATTGTTCTGGTGGGTGGTCATCCAACCCTGGGTGTCAGGTGCTCCTTGCTCCCCTCAGACACACCCTTTTTCTCTGGGGTTGAAATCCTTCCTCACCAGCACCGTACTTAGGCCTGGACCAGCAGGGCTGGGCACCTGCCGGGCAGGGGTTGCTGCCCCCATCCTGTACCAGTCAAGAGAAGCTAGGGGGCTGCAGGACCCAGTTTGTTCCAGAGAGGAAAGCTTTGGGGGTTCCTCAGAAGCTCCCTGTAGGGTATGGTGCTCATGCTTGGGATTGAGACAGGCTTTAGAAACCTGGTCCTGCTACAGGCGAGCCCTAACACTGAAAGAAGACGGAAACGGTGTACTGTCCCACCACCGAGATCCTGCGTGGAGTGTCCTACTTTCCTGAGGATGACAGGCTCCTTCCAGTGAGCAGCAACTGCCTGCTGCCCTCCTCATGGTCAGATGCTGCCAGGGGCTCTCCGTTCTGCCTACCAAGGTCCTAGGGCCATCGACCCCAAGATCCCCTCTGTGAGCCTCTCAGCCTCAGCCCTGAACTGGCTTCCCTAGAGGCCAGAAGGCATGCCCTTTATTCCTCACAGACCCACTACTCCACTTTAAGGAAGGAGACAGTCACAAGTACCCGCTCATTGTTCAACCCCAGAATGCAGGGCCCAGGCAAGAGCCTTCTGCTGTGGCCCTGATTTGGTGCCCTGAACAGCTTCACAACTAAGTTTCCGGCCCAGAGGTTCCAAAGCCCACCAGCTGTGGGTGTTCCTTCCTCATGGCGGAAGAATGCCCTCTGCCTGTCACTGTGGGGTGGTCACCGCCTTTCCCCAGCCCACCTCTAACACCTGGCAGAAGAAGTTCCATGGCCACCTGACCCTGAGACAACCTCCCTCCCTCCCTCCCACTTGTGCTCAGGGGAGCATGGTAGAACAAGAGAGGCATGTGTAGGCTTTGAGCACGTTTTTAACCTTTTGCGTTTCCCAGGTTGAAAAGGCCAGGTGCCAGCCTTCAGTGATCGCCTTTATCTGAAAGCACGAATGGATACTTCACTTTGTGTAGTGACACTTGGAGGTAGAAGTAGTAGTCCCAGCTGTGGCTGACTGATGGGCAAGCTCTAGAACTCCCTCATTTTCCCTGTGCTTGCCTCCCCAGGAATCACTCTGGGGCACCTACAAGCTCTGAGAGGCAGCACTAGGAGGTGGGAACAGATACCAGCCCTGTCCTTCTCCATGTAAGCTTGGCCAGGCTAAGCAAGGACAGAGTCCCAAGGACTGGACTTTCCAGTGGCTCTGGTCATTGTAGAGTTTAATCCAACTGAAACTTAGTGAGTGCTAACTACCTGTCTTGGTCTTCAAGTGACTGTAGTCCAGGCCAGCCTCCTAGGCCCCAGCTGCCCTCTGGCCCGTGGGACATCACTGGCAGCCATGCCATGGGTCCCTGGCTTGTTCCCACAGGTTTTCAATCATGCTGATGTGACAGCTGTACCTCATCCCAGCAAGCGCTTCAGGTCCCTTGCCACAGCCTCAGCGGAAGGCTTTATACCTCTCTCATGGGCTTTTTGTATTTTCCCTTTGCTGTGTCCTCTCTCTTCCCCATGACCCACAAATGCCCCCTGAAGGCATTTTGTGCTCTTAAGACAGAGTGAGCCCCAAAGGCCATGCCTACTCTGATCGACGTGACCATCTCCAGGGGCGCATTGCTCTGATCTATGTGACCATCTCCCCGGAGCCGAGAGCCCAGTCTCAGCTGTGCATGGCCCTCTGTGGGTAGAGTGGCGACAATGTCTTACCTTGTACATGTTGCACAGCCCAGGCTGGCTGCAGGCATAAGAGGGCAGAGGGCTCCGGCTCTGCTTTAGCCAGGGTACCTGCCGAGGATACAGAGTGGGCGGGGTGAGTTCAGCTTGGGCACCGCTTGAAGAGCCCCACAGCCCTTCAGCAAATCTCCTGTAGGATGACCATGGCAGGCCCCAGGTGGGGCAGGGTGAGCAGCGAATGGAGGGTTAAGAGGCAAATAGGCAACCGAAGGCATCCAGAAGATGGGTGGATGGATGGATGGATGGATGGACCCTGGAGAGGCAGAAGGAGAAAAGGGCAGGGAAGCACCCAGAGAAAAAGGAACGAGAGGAAAGATTTAGGGAAGACATTCTTCCTTTTAGAGTCTATTTTGGGACCCTGTGCCAAATTCTCTGACCAAATGTTCTTACTGTATGTAGTAGGCACTAGAGATGGAAGATTTCCAAGTTATAGTTCAAGAGCTTTTGGAAGTCTATGATGGGGTGGGTGAAGTTTACATTTGTTTTATTGTAGAGTTGATTTATTTTCTTTGGTAGCAAGTGTGTCAGCACCTGCCCTGGATTTGCAAGTAGGAATTACTCCTGTGCTGTGGGGTTAACAGTTAAGCCCTTTCCAGCTTTCTAGAGAGTCCTAAGAAATAACGTCAGAGACATAGGGCTCAAAATTGCCCAGCAGTCACTTGGATTACATTTCTTGATGACATACTTCCTCGTTTCTGGTGAAGTTTAGGAACAAAGCATACACGAGCTACGTGCTAACCTCAACTCTATTGCTGTAACCCCTGCTAGGTGGTTTTTGCTCCTGGTTTACTGTCTTCTCCTTATTCTATTAGTTATAAGAAAGCATCTGCCATATCTATAAACTTCAGGACAAAGGCAGATGGCTTATGGGAAGTGACTTGAGAGAGAGACAGAGAGAGAGAGAGAGAGAGAGGAGAGAGAGAGAGAAAGACAGTGGTCAAGAGATAAAGCCAAAGCATTTGATTCAAGAGATGTCTTATACTGGTTACAAATGAAATGGATTCTTGTTAAGTGAGCTGACAGCAGATCACAGATGACAGTAGTGTGACACTGAATGTTAGTGTCCTCCACAAGTATTATTGAAAGTTGACACACTGGGGTCTGCAGAGGCAAATCTGTGATGGCCATGTGCCGAGCTGTGCATTTCATAAACAAGTCTCTCCATTTGTGCGAGAGAGGTGATTTCTACGCTGGCGAGAATTATTGGTAACTTTAGTTCCTGCTATCAGGGACTTACAAGAGTGAGAATTTGAGTATTCATTTCAGTGTAAGCCTCTGTAGATAAGCCAGTGTTCATAAGACCTGGCTGTCCCCATGAGGAGCGGCCCCTCCACTGCTAATATGTGGACAGTTCATGCAATGAACTTGGGTAGAGGGTGGGGGACTTTTTGTTCGAGTCCTCTGTATAAACAATGGCCTCTTCATGAAGGTCATGACCATGAGGTGTTATCTCCTAGCTGTGGTGGACAGCATTGCCCCTCCAGCACCACACCCAGCCTTCTAGGGCCCTCGCTATCGCTATCCATGCATGGGAGGATGGGTGGAGGGCAAAGCTGTAGCCGTAAGAAAGGACGTCCAGTGATGCTGACAGGAAACGCACCAGCTGCGTGGCTCGCAGAGGCAGTTCCGTTCCTCCTATGCCATGGAGCAGCACCCCACAGCCAGGGTGCACCTGCAAGGCTGGAGGCAAGACAGCACCCAGGAGGTGGCCGTGGGCTCAGCCCACATGTGTGGGCTCCCTCTTCAGTTTGTTCCATTTTTTATAACTATTTAAGAGTGTAGTGATAGACATAATAAAATCTCTAAGATGACATAAGTCAGAGTTTGATAAATTTCTGCAGTCAATCTTAGTGATTTCCATGTGAGATCAGAGAGCGTTTTCCCTGTAGACAATCTGTCTTCAGGTGTCATACCAACCAGTCAGAATTGCCTGTTACCAAATGGCTAATCCTTTCATCAAAAGGAAGTCAATGACGGGAGAAATAAATGCCTCAAGATGGGAATGAATTTAAAAGGAGGAGTTAGGATGGAGTCGGCTGGAAAGCTGTGACACGCGGGTGAGTGGTGGCTGGCAGATGATTCGAGGTTCATTCCACAGCTTTTGGCTTTCCCTTATCAGCCACCCAGGTTCACCCTTAAACTCACAACGCAGAACCACCCTCAAGAAGAGCAACCCACCTCGTCTTTCAGCTCCTCTAGCTCCCTAAGACTCTTTAACACAGCCTCATCAGGGAGCACAGGAGGGCGGCCCTGGGGTGCTCAGTCATCCAGGAACTACCGTGTGGTGTCCTGGGGTCCAGTGTATCCAGAGCCGGCACTCATCTCCTAACCCTGCAGATGCCGCTTTGAGACACACTAGAAACAGCAGAATGATTGTCACGGACAGACCAGGGTGCCACATTCATGGCAGGAGACGAGCACAGTGCCTTTGTGCATAAAGCAGAGGGGTGAGACACTGTGACCTTAGTGTGCAAAGGCGGCATGAACCCAGGTGCTCAGACTTACCTGCTGGGGTGTCACGGGGTCACGGTGACACAAGGCCATTAGTCAGGCAGGGACACCAAAAAGAACTTAGGAAGCTCACGTACAATCAATAAATACACCATCCTCAGTCCTTTAAATGGTTTAATAAGGGCACAAAGGGCAGAAATGTACACGATGTGGAAGCCCATAACAAAATCATATCGTAATACAACTCCAGAAGGCAATCACCTTGTAAGCATAACTTACAAACGTATCGCTTATACAGAGAACGGAGCGAAGTCACTGCCAACGTGAAATTCCAGCATCACTGTCGCCCGCCCAAGTTAACAGTGGATGGCTGTGACCACTGAGGCAACAGAAGGACAGAGTAAGCAGCTGGTGACCAAGTCAGTGACACCTGTGTTCAGTAACTGATCAGGGTAAGGATTCTCCAAAAGGAATTCCCACTGGAAACCTCTGGAAGTATTGGTTTGGGTGCTGATGTGAATGCACCCATCACCCCTGGGCCCCTGGCTGAAATTCTTGTCCCGTGATGGAGGGAATGGCCGGGCCAGTTACTTCCGGCCCATGGGTGTCCAATTTGGTTTCACAGGCACTCCTGCGCTGTCATGGGAAAGGCCACTGTGAGGGACTGAAGACCCCCACTCTATCGACAAACGCTTCTAATCCTGACCAGGGTGCAGGACACAGACCCTCGAATGCTACACAGGTGATGCTTACTATATCCTTCATGCTACCTCTAGGTGTCACCCGCAGTGGGACACTGCTACAAAGTTAGCACATCGTGTTAACAATGAAAATGAAATTACTGCAGAACTAAGACATATTTAATGAAATTAAAATGCAACAAAAATATCAGGAAAGAAACATTGCAGTTAATTTACAAGACTGATTATACGTCACAGCACTGAATGAGGGGAAGGCTCTTAACCCATGCCGCCAAAAATCAGAGGCGTAGAGTAATCTGAATGCTGGAAAATGAATGCGGAGAGTAGTAGGTTATACACAGAGCTTTCCAGGTAAAATAAATAGAGAAAAGTAGGACTGAGTTTTCCAACTCTCTAAAGGCAGAATGACGGAGAGGAAGATGAGCTGCTCTGTTCTTGTGGCTTTCTTGCTTGAGTGTGAATGTCTGACATCTCACGTCCAGCCTAGCTGCTCTGTAAAACTTCACTTCCTCCAGATAAGAGGAAGCTCATGTCCCAGGCGTTGGCCCACAGCTTGGGCAGCCTAGAGGGCCTGTCCGCCCAGGGACAGAGCTGGCATGCACTTGACTGTGAGTGAGAGGTGAATGGGTCACAGCAGGTGCATCCCAGTCTGTGCCTCAAAGGTCCACCACTTCCCATGGAGGATGACATTCCAAGGAACCAGAAGACCTGTTCTGACAGGCAACAAGCAGCCCTTTCTTCCAACAACAAAGAAAAATCTCTTTGTAAATGGCTCTCAAAAGAATATGCCTCCTCAAGGAATTTTCAGTGCACTTCCCTTGAATGTCAGCTTGAGCCACAAAGGCTGTGTGTTGTCAGAGCATTCCCTGGACCGGGGGCGGCAGCACCAGGGGCAGGGCACCCAGGGGAGGGAGGAAGTGGGCAGCAGGGGCAAGCAGCCCCTTGGCGGGGCAGCGAGGTGGAGCACTCAGGGCCTTGTTGGAGTCTAACATGAAAACCCCACTCTAGACGGATGACAGCAAAGCTGTTCCCAGGTGTGGGGCGGCTGGCCCTCGGGGTGTCTTCAGCGCCCCATGTACACTAGACAGGTACTTTAGGAATGGGATTGGTGAGGTGGGCTTTCGGCAGTAAGCAGCCTCTGGACTCTGCTTTCAGGATTCTTAAATCTATTCCAATGACCTTTGACGCATATAAGAACAAGAGCCGCTCTGACTTATAAACAGAGAAAAACAAAACAAAACTTAAATACAGTTCTACAGCAGCCCATACTACAAATATTCCAGACTTCTAGACCGATCGTGGGTCTGCACCTGGGTGTAGAGTGAGTTAACTTTGCATCTCCAGGGTTTAACCACAAAGAACCCATAGTAAAGGTTGAAAGGGACACACATTGCCAGTGTCTCCCCACCTCCATGGAAGGCACCTTTGGCTGTGTTTGCAACAGGTTGCTTTATGCTCGCCATACAAATGCTAATGGATTTTTTGTTTTTTTGGCATCAAGACTGTTCATTTAAAATCTTCTGTACTCAAAGCACTCAGTAGTTAAAAGAATTGATACTTCAAATTTTTAGTTTCTAAAAATGGTTTAGTTTTTAATTTAGTTTTAAAAACATTTTAAGATAATTGTTTTTAATTACTTAAAAATTGTTTTTAGCTTAAAAGAAATCCTGCAGAAGTGTTTCACTTTTTTCAGGATACTTGATAATCTAGAGACTCATTTTCGAAAAGGTTGACTGCTTCAGAGCATCAAATCTTTCCTTTGTAAATATTGCAGAGCACAACAGATGTACAGCAATGGCCATTGTGACCTTGCACGGAGAGAAACATCTCTGTGCACACAGACCCACTCTGAGATGACAGATATGAACGTTCCACGGTTGTATTTCAACTCAAACCATTACCACCCAGCTGGGGCTTGCTTTAGAGGCTACGCTGTCAGCTCTTTCACCTTTCTGCTGAAATAAACATCTCCTGTTCCCTCGGTCATGAGATTTCAAAACTGCTAAGGATGCTTCATGGGGGATGCTTGGCTGAAAAGCCAGACCTCATTAGGCAGCCAGAAGCCCCCATACTCATGATTGCACTTGAACTCTTCCCTTCCCCCCAGCCAAAGTTAGCACTAGAAATCGGTCAGAGGACTGACGTCCAGGGCCAGGGAGTATGCCAAAAAGTGAAAGAACATGTCACAGAGCATGGCTTCTGCTAGCACTTAAGATACAGCAAGCACTATTTACAGGTGAGTCGCAGCAAATGTCCAACGTGAATGTCAGCGCTGTGCAGATGACAGACCTCACTGAAGCCCCAGTGGCCTGTGAGCTGCAAATGGAGGGCATTTGTGCTTATCCTCAACAGTCCCACGACCACCCATCACCATCACAATAGGTTGGAAGTACCCAAGTGGCCCTAGGGTTGTGATGGGACCATCCTCTGGGTGAGGTCTCTGTCCCACACTTCATTCACAAGCCTCTTGTATTCCCAATGGCTTTTCAGAATAAGCACAGTACACAGGCTGAAGAATTCTTACACCCAATAACCAGGACCTTGTTTTGAAGCACCTTTCTCTTTCCAAAATCACCCAGGCATACAGCAGTGTCACACGCTGGCAGTGTGATGGCCACATGGGATTAGCTCCTTAAGGAACCTCAGCCACAGGCTAACAACTGTCTGCAACCTGCCCAGACAATCCAGAGATACCTTTTGCAAAGAGTCTGATCCTTGTCATATGTTACTATGGCAGAAATTTGCTTTTAAATATGGGGAGTCCCAAGATTCTATACTTAAATTACTGTGATCATACAGTAGTGAAGTTTTGATTCATATACACTCATTCATCCCTCCACCCTTTCCATGGAACAACTTGGACAAGAGAGAAAGTTTGCTCCAGGCAAATTTGAATTAAGGAGCTTATTCCAAAGGCCACTTTGGTCTCGATCAGTTCATTGTGGCAAAGCAGCCTGACCCGGGCAGCATTGGCCCCAGGGAACAAAGAGCAGAAGCCAAAGCTGAGCCGGAAGTGCAGAGCAGAGGCAAAACCAGCCAAGGACCTGGATGCACAAGGTCCTTGCCTTTCTGACCACGTCCCGTCACATCTGGTGAGGAGGAGAAAGTGGGCAGAGTGAGAACAGCCTAAGCAGCAAGGGCGCCCATGCCCTGGGTCAGGAAGCACTTTCCAGCCAGGACCAGCGCCGTAGACACCGAGGGACCAGGTCAGCGCTGCTGCCACCGGCCTAGCTCGCCTGCCCACCTCTCCATCCTCAGTGCAGCTAACCACAGCAGCTCTACTCCGCGGAGCTCACCTTGCCGGAGCCCCGCTTGGGCGCACCCCTGTCACCGCCAAAGAAGCGCCCGATGGAGTCGAGGAGGCCCGTGTCTCTGTGCCTCGGGAGGAAGGCATGCCTGGCGTGGTCCACGGTACTTGCTGAGGTCAAGTACTTAGATCCGTGCCTCTGGGAGGGTCTTTTCTGCGACGCCATCACATCCAGGTCCTGGGAAGCTGCTGTGCTGTCTTCTTGGATGGTCTGGAGCTCGTCAGACTCCGAGGGCCTGTCTTTGAAGGTGTTGTCCTCCCTCCCCGGGGCATCTCGGGAAAAGAGGCGGATCAAATGGGGGCGGCTCCGTGGGTCAGCTGGGTGGGCATCCTGCCAGACATTCTTTGGGTCTGCTGTGCGCTTGGAGTCTGTCACCGCTGTGTCCTCAGACGAGGTCCCATTGTTCAGGTTTGCATCTGCCTCGCCTGCAACAACAATCAGATGTGAATACAGGCCTGTGCGCGGCCGCGCGTGGGACAAAGCAGCTTTCTTCCCTGGGTCTTGAACTAGCTGTCTCCTATAAAACCCACAGGGTATGTGCAGAGCCCATGGAGCCTCATGGCAGCTCAGACTGTCTTTGACAGGGACTAACCTGCACCTAGCAGCCTTCATGCAGCAATGTTTTACAGAAAGCCTGGGGCCACCTCCATGGTTCCCAGTTGGTACCTTGGGTGTTACAGCCGGGGATTCCTACTGAAGTGGCCTGAGGGCCCCCAGCAGTCACGTGGAAACATCCCCTGAGCCTGCCTGTTGCGTGGGAGCACCCAGGAGTGCAGGCACCTTGCAGGACATCTGTCATCTGAAAGGCCACCCGTTCATGAACTCCACATGCTGGGAGCACTTATTTGACAAAAGGTGTTTTTAGTGATCTTGGTAAAAAATGGAACTTCCCACATCTTTTTGCAATTCATGCTTTAAAAGAAATGGGCGTTTAGAATTCCTGCATCCCCAGATTCCGCAGGAGGCCTCTCCTGGAGAACTGCTTATTCAGGGCCTTTGGATGTGGCTTCTCTGAAAGCAGCAGCTAGCACGCTGGAGGTGGAGTGGGCTAGGTACTTCATGTTGCGTACCACTTATCCCGGCTTTTTACAAGAATTACGGTATCTCTCTGGCAAATTAAACATCATTTAATTTACTTATAGAAAATGTGTTTTGCACTTTACTGTAATACCATTATCCATCCATCCACTGAAATCAAAACATCCCTCTACCCATTCATTTACCCATTCCTCCATCCACCCACTTGCTCATCCATCTATTCACTTACCCAACTATCCAGTTATCCACTGAAATTTACCCCAAAATACCAACTACCCACTATCCTCCACCCATCCATCTGTTCATCCACCCATCCATCTGTTCATCTATCCATCCATCCACTTACACAACTGTCTGTCTATGCTTCCATCCATGTTCCATCTATCCAAGCATCCATCCATCCTCCCATCCATCCACCCATCCACTGATAGTTACCTTGTAACATTTGTCTATCCATTCATTTATCCATCCCTTCACCCACCTATTCATCACCTATCCATTCACTGATATTTTCCCAACAGCATCCACCTACCCATTCATTTATCCATCCCTCCATCCACCCACCATCCATTGCCTGCCATCCATTATTTCCTGAGCACCTAACAAGTATAACGCATTGCTCTGGAGGTATGAGTTACAGTGATGAATAAAATGTGGTCTTTGTATCATGAAGCTTACATTCTGGTGAGCTATTCAGATGAAAGCGTGTGTTATGAATCAAAATGTCTCCTAAAACAGTATGTCCTCATCCTAGCTCCCTTCCCCCTGACGAATGTGACCTGATCTTTGCAGATGGGATCCAATGTCAATAAGCTCATATTGAAGCCAAGCAGGACCTATCCAATGACTGGGGTCCTTATATGAGAGGGAAATTTGGACACAGAGACCCTGGTGCACAGAGCAGAAATGGGAAGGAGAGGCAGAGACTGAGCGCCGAAGCCACAAGCCACGGGACATTGAGGAACACTGGCAGCACCAGAAGGTGCTCACTGGAGGGAGGGTGGCCCTCACACACCTAGATTTTGGACTTCTGCCCTGTATAACTATGAAAGAATAAATCTACCTTGTCCCCGCATGTGGTCTTTGTCACGTGCGGGGTGCATTCTCACACCAAGTGGTGATATGAAGAGAGGCAGAGCAGGTGAAGGGTCCATAAGAAGGTCCTTGGGAGTTGACAACTGATGGTGTAAGGCTTGACCTTGGGAGGACGGGGTGGGAGGTCAGGACACCTCTGGGAAGTTTGACAAGAGCTCCATGCGCTGTGCTGCCCTGTGCTGAGTGCAGTGGAGGACTGAGAGGTAGAATTCTGGGGGGCAGGAGGTTGCAACAGGAGTGGGGTCCACTGTCAGCAGGATGGGGCTGGGGTAGAGGATTCTGGAAAGGCTGCAGCTTGTATCCTGAGCACTGGGCAGGCGGCAGGCACAGGAATCTGATTGAACACTGGGTGAAGAAAAGTACCTGCGTAGTCGTGGTGCAGGGATACACACCTGAGGTCATCCTCACTGATGGTTAAGGCACTGGGCCAAGCAGGGGGGACAGGCAGCATCACAGTTCTCTCGATTTATGTGCCTGGAAGGGCACTGAGAAGAAACTGGCAACACCTAAGATGTTGGAGAAGGGGGAGGCATGGCAGGCTGTAGGTGGGATGCTGTTTTAGCCTGGTTTCCCCAGCAACAGCCTCCGTTAACTACATTGGGGTGCCACGACCACCCTGGTGCTGACTCGTATCAGGAGCACCCCAGGACTCACATGGTCTTCTTTGTTCCTGTTGCACACTGAAGCGGGAACAGAGCCAGAGCCAAACCCACCACGGGGATGGGGCAGGAGTGGAGCCAGACCTGGCTCATGGAGTCACACAGGGCACAACACATCTCCCAGCAAGCTCTGTAGCCACATGTGTGAAATGCTGTATGACTCCCACAGGAAGGAGGGTGTTCAGCACAGTCCGTACCATGTTGGTGCACTGACCACCCTTCTTGGGGAGGGGATGGTGGACAAGAGCCCTCCCTACATTCTCATTGCCAGAGCACACCACAGGGTCAAGCTCACCAGCAGAGCTTCCAGGGACAGAGACACAGGCCTGCTGTGTGACAGCCTTTCTGCACAACTCCCATGAACTAGAGAATCATAAACACCCTAGTGAGAAAAAGTTTCCTCAGGCAGTTTGGTTTCACATTGAACAATACTCAGAGGCTCTGCCTTTACCTTGAGAAGACAGTCCTGGGGTTGGTGGGTTTTGTTTATTTATTTTATTTCATGATTTGTTTTTTTCTTGGTGGGACTGGAGGTTTTAAACTTAGGGCATCATGCTTGCAAAGCAAGCACTCTACTGTTCGAGCCACACCTCCAGTCCATTTTGCTTTGGTTATTTTGGAGATGGGATCTCAAGAACTGTGATCCTCCTGATTTCAGTCTCTCTAAGTAGCTAGGATTACAGGTGTGAGCCATAGCACCTGGCCTGGTTGCCGAGTTTTAAACTGAATGTCTGGAAAAGTCTTACCTCTAAGAAAGTTTTCTACAACATTTACACTTGTGAAAACATTGGTAGTGGCAATAGGAGGACTAACCCATAGGACAGGTCTCTTGGGGGGGTTGTTTCAGTTGCTCTGAGCAGCTGCTCTTGGGGACCCACAGAGCATGCGTGTTTTACACGAGCTATACTTAAACTTGGTGAGGTTTGAACTCATGTGCGCATGCACACACACACAGTCATGCATGTTCCCACACACGCATACACACACACATGTGTGCAACAGGGCACCTGCAGAAGTGGTCTTCTGCCTCCTCATCTGTCCTTCTTGTAGAAACACCACACAGGATGAACTGGCCCCACAGTGGTGGCAGAGGACAAGGCCAGGACAAAAAGCCTGCTCACCTACCAGGCTGCTGATCTTGGGGATGATGTGAACACAGTGCAGGTGATGACTTGGACTCCAAGCTGGGTCCCTTCTTAATTTCCTAACACATTTCCCAAGGTCTCTGGCTAACTAACGGTCTGTCCCACAGTTTCCTGAGCTTGCATGGCTTCTCATCTGCTCAGGAACAGTCTGAGGATGCAAAGAAGATAGCTGCCAGTTCTGGGGAACAGCTGGCTGTCCACAAGGGCCGGGGTGGGCATTTTCCTTTGTTATGGATATTGGCAGAAGTTTGTATAAACACAATCTGCCCTGGGTTTCAAACTCTTTCATCAGAACAGTGGGTGCTCATGGGGAGAAGCTGCCTCATGAACAACACTGGTCATACGCTCAGTAAATAAAGTTGATACATGCAGCCAACACTGGACATTATTTCCAAAGCAGAGTCACTCCCATCACCCATTGTAAATGTTTGCCAGTGACAAAGTACAAGGAAACACCAGGAACCCAGGACGGCTGTGGTCTCGCCCAAACTCCTAAGAGAGTGCTTGCAGCTGCCGTGTACCCATGCTGGCCAGGCTGTGTGCCATGGAAACAGCCCCTGTGGGGCTGAGCCACACAGGGCTTGCCTAGCATGCACAAGGCCCTGGGTTTGATTCCCAGAAACACACACACACACACACACACACACACACACACACACGCACACACACAATTAAAAAGTAAGAATAGAATAGCTAGGAATTAAAGGAGGAAAACTAGCAGGCCATCCAGTTCAGGACGAGTGAGGAAAGACAGGCAAGGAGGGAATGTCTGCTGGCACCACTGTTTCGTTCACCCACAGGACAGCAGTAACCTTTGCACATTAGTCAGACACACCATCGCCCTGCCGTGCTGGACGAACACTGAGGTTGGTACAAAGCTGCAGTTCTTGCAGGGATACATCAGTGATTTATGGGTTGCAGCCGCAACAGCCATGACTAACGAACGAGTCTGACTTTGTCGCTGGGCTTTATGTTCTGTGGGTAATATAAATTAATGCAAATGTGAACAGAAGACAACAGCTATATTGTACACAACCAAATGCATTAACAAATCACCAGAGCATCTGAATGCTAACGTTTTCACAACAGTTGGGCTTTGTGTTCCTGAATACAGTTATTTGTGAGGCTCAGAGAAGGCATTTGTGTCCCCAAAGTAGCTTCTCCCAACCTGTGAGAAGTGTGGTGAGGAGTCGAAATCTGTGGGTGGGCAGGGGTTTGGGGGAAACAGTGGTTTAAATGCAAAGTGTGGTTAACACTGCCTTTGCTCACATTAAAGCCCAGCAGGGACTTCTTACTGAGATAATGTCAGTGGAATAGAGCTCGTGTTAGTTACCAGGCAGTTCTGATTTCTCCAGAACAGGCACTTACAATACTCTCTGTATTGTCAACCAAATTCTGCAACTGCAGAAAAACATTCTTAAAGACAAACAAACAACAGATAAAAAACCCAAAAGCATCTCAATGTTACTGCTAGAAGAGCCCCAGAAA